GCCTCTGTAGAAAATCTAGTCGATGGTAAAGATGTTGAATGGGGTAAAGTGTTAACCATTCAACATCAGTCTCATACTCATACTGAAGATAAGGAAAACAATATAGAAGGACAACCTAATCTTCCCGATCCCGAGCTTGATATGCATTGGCATTTAGCACGTTATTTACCTGAGACACGTGGTTTAAGAAGTAAATTTCAAAGTCTTCTGGCAGGCTATCTTTTGGCTATTTACAATGCAGTTCGAAATGAACATCGCCGTTTGATTGAATCCATTAGTTGTTCTTTGGTAAGTCATTTTTTGTATGATTTTTATAATATTGCAGTTTACAACCTCTTATAAAGAGGGTTTGAGATGTTAACTTTTTACATTTTTATGAAGGACACTCATTTTTTAATCAACAATTGTTTTCTTAGGCGTTCACTTGATTTTTCGTTAGTTCCTCTTTATGAGCCATGATAGACAGTTCTATACTTTTTTTAGAATGAACCACACGGATCTCTTGAATTTGATGCTGATGTGAATAAAGATCCTAACTGTGTACATGAAGCTGAAACAACACCATACAAGTCAGACGCTACTGTCTCTCCTGGAGTTAAGGAATATGAAGAACGTTTATTTAGAGATCAATTGGCCCCAGAGTTATACAATCTAATTATTCGCCTACAACGGAAAGCTGCATGGATTGATCCAGAGTTAGTGAAAAAAACTGACCCGTCAATTGGTAATAATAGGACCTGCCAATTAAATAATGGTTCAAACATACCTCGAAATAACGATCTTGTCAGTGCTTACCTTGCGGAAAAGTCAATCGGTTCAGGCATAGAGTTCGATGCTACCAACAACAACAAAAACTCGAGTCCGAACTTAGTTCTACCTCTTTTACCTGCACATCAGGCTATTTATACTCTGAATTTCACTCCGCTTCTTGATTTCATCAAATCATTGTGTGAGGTATGTTGTTCTCTCTCTCTCTCTCTCTCTCTCTCTATATATATATATATATATATATATATATATATATATATATATATAATTATTACTATTAAGTTCAAGGTGTTGCTGCGTTACTTTTAAAGAATAGCACTGGTCCCAGATATATAACTTCCCACATCATAACTATTGGAATTCGCGTAAATTTAGGTGTCTTCCTTCACTTGTTTTCCATCAAGTAGCTTTTGAAATTGGGGTATTAAAAAACGTTTTCGTCTTATTATTGAACTATCCAAATACCAAACAACTTTGACCTCTTTTGTCATCGAAAAAGAAAAGTTTAATTATTGTAAAGAATCACTAATGGTTCTCCTAAACCGCGTCACTGATTCTATTAAACTCTCTTATCAATACTGTCTGCGATGTATCGGCAATCAGGATTGAATCATTCGTCTCTTCAAAAGTGTATACACTAAATCCTAAAAATCAGTTCACTCGTAAAACAATTCATCAGACGCTGATTATTCATTTTTGAATTTTCTTCTGCTCATTTTTTTGGTTATCATGCATCCTTTCCTTTTTTCGTAACGAAGAATTTGTTAAATCTGTCTACTTTGTTTGGACAAAAGGATTAACTTTGATATTTTTAATTCCTTCGACCATATATCACTAGATAATCTGTTTAATGTATCTATATATTCAAGTTATCGATTCGATTCAGTTGGAAAGTCTATGTGAATAGTAGTTTTAAACTCCCGGCTGTGTTAAAGTGGGCGATCTTTACAAGCAGCTGCGGATTTGGTCTATTGTAATCAATAAACCATCTTCAAGAATGATGCATTTCTAACAGTCATCCTCAACACAAAATAGTCTAAAGAGAATGAAATAGTTGCATTTGTCGCTTTTCGTATTAGGTGCTTTCATAAGCTACGTTCTGGAAACCATGCGCCACTGGTTTACGTTCGTTAACGGATTTTCTCAAGCATCAAAAACATCCTATTCTTAGTATGCTATCACTACGTAGTTCTAGTTTTTGTTTTCCGTTTTAAAAAACTGTAAGTCGCGAAGTTGAATTTTTTATTTGGTATTTATTTTTCTGTTTTCATACTTTTTTTCCTTAATCCTTACAAGGTTTTGAGTTTAGAGCCATTCGCGAAGTTACACATTGAAAGCATTAGACATGATTTACTTCGTTTAATAAATGTTGGAGAATTTTCACCTGAGGCCATTTGGATTGCCCCTCATATGGTTAGGGATTGTCCGTTGAACCAAGATCCAAATAAATATACTTTTGAAACAACTGCTATTCGTTCTCTACTAGTGTATCTCCCAGAGGTTGCTTGCCCAACGTGTAATTTTACACGGGACATAGATGTTTGTCGTGATATACATGTTGTCTGGATAATGGCATCTATGGATTCAATGCACGTTGAAACTAGACCATCGGGTTATTGGGCTTGGATATGCCCACATTGTCGAACAGTTTATCCACGTGATAGGCTAGAAGAAGCGCTTGTTCAACAGCTCGAACAATTCTCACTTCAACATTGTTTACAGGTTTGTTAAATCCAATTTTGCTATTGCAATTCTATTCTATTAATTGTATCTCATATTCCAGGTACAGTAAGTTAACTCGGTTTCTGTGGTTTTCTGAGTGTTTCGTTAATGTAGTGTTAGTTATACCTAAAAGTCGAAATCTTCTGAAAAGATGGCTTTATAACCTTGGTGCACCGGACTGCTTAATTTTCAAAATCAAATTGTATCGTACAAATAAATCTCAGTCATATATATAAATACACAAGAGACCTCCTAGTCCGATAGCTAAGAGGTTTCTGTCAAACTGCTATTTCAACATACAGTAGGTTTTATTACACTTTCTGTTTTACTCGCTCTATGTTGCACCGAAGGTACCTATTCTTTTCACTCTTCAGTCTATATTTGCATAAGTTTCATTATTTGCTGCAATGTGTTTTATTTTGAGGATCATTCATGACGTGCATTTTCATGGAGCAGATTACTGAAATAGTTTGTTGTCACTATATTTTTCATCACTAGTAATTCTTCTTTACTGTAAACCACTAGTTATTCGGATTTTTTATCATTCTGTCGTGCTTTATACATAAATTATCGTCTCGATCATTAGATAAATATTACATCACTTTTAGTTTTGAAATTAAGGGAAATTATTTTCATTCACGGTCATGTTAATATATATGTGACTTCATTTCTCATCTAGTTTTGACTAATTGTGACTTTCTGACTAGCTTTCATTTTCGTCGCCGTATCATATCTATCAGAACATCTAAACGTTTTGCCAATAACTCAATGAATAATTTGTTTTCTTGATATTTTACTATAAATTATTCCTTCATGTTTTGTTGTCGGCCTAATGTGAAAAATCGAAGTCATTTATAGTTCCTTTAATGTTGGTAAAAAGTGTACTCCTTCATTAACATATTTTCTCCTTTTTTAATATGTTTTGATAATTATATTGACTAACCATATGTACATAGTTTAGTTATCAAGTAATCTACTGGTACTTGGTATTCCTATACAACTTCATTTCGTAATCCGTTATGGTTTTTCTATTGATGCCAGCTTCTGACGAAAACAATTTCAAATTTGATCGTGTATTATTTGAAAATTTTTGACGATAAATGATTGGTTAAACGCACATGTGTGCATTAAATTTATTTTACTGCACTTATTATCTTTGATAGGATCTCCAGTGTCCTAAATGTACTGTAGGTGGTGGGATACAGGAGTTGCTGATTGCAAATGGTGGGTCAGTTGCTCAGTGTGCTGATTGTTCTACGAAGCTGACACTAACTGTTCCAACTGGTCATGCAGTTTATCGTCGTTTAGATGTTTATCGTAATATCGGCGTACATTTCGGTTTTGAATACTTAGAACAAATCGCTTATTGGCTTATCCAAGGATTACAACAATAGACAGATTCTTCATCTTTTTCATATGAACCGTTATGTAATGCATTTTTATAACACTACTTTTGCTAAAAGAATATTTTGTATTGGTTTCCATTTTTATATTGCAGATTATTTGAAAATTTGATATTTTGTCTACCTTTTTCAAATAAAATAAGTACCCCATTTTTCTTAGTGTTCTTGTCTTTCAACAAGGAAATTTTTTGAAAACACTCGCAACTTTTTTCAATATTGTGTGTTTCACTGTGTATTTATTGCTTAAGATAAATGTGCTTGCGTGATGCCTGAGGTTTTGATATGGAATGAATATTTGATTGTTGACTAAGTATGAACATTTCGTTACATATTGAAAGTATATGGGATGCCATTGAAATCTAAATTGGACTCTTGAAAAGTCCACATACTTGATCTCACTATTAATCCACGTTTCCTATTTCTGTCATACCAAGATATAGCCTGATTTTCAATTGCCACATATTATGACTATCTCATTGCGTTAACTAATGTTTCAAGTAGCGACTTTAAATATGCAGCTGAACGCAACCTAAAGTTTGGTTTCAACATTCCTGTTCATTGTGTTGGATCCTCTAGATAAACGAATATATATGCTTCACCACCAGTCATTACAGAACAATTCCCAATGTTATGTATCTTTGATTCCATGTGAAACTCATTTATAATTAGATTTTTCATCTTTTGGTAGCTGACACGCAGTGCTCTTACAAATTACCAATTTCAGTCTGTGAGTAACCAGTAATTATTATTCGTTGGAGTATGTTGATTAAAAATAAAACGATTAACCATTAGAAGTTCTGTAATCTTGTTGTTCATAAGTTCGCCATTCCCACTAGTTTACGAACAGAATGAACTAATCACTTTTTAGCTGGAAGGTATAAGACTATCATAATAATTGTTCAAAGAGAAACTAGGTTGGTCTTAAACTGGCATCCACGGTTCACGTATGCTATTTTCGATAATTCATTAAATAAATTCCCTCCTGTCAAACTTACTAAAGCTGAAAGGAGCTCTTAAATAAAAAAAGCAAACCGTTAAGTGGTAGTTTTTTTTCAAGTATGACATGTTTAATCTTGTTTGTTTATCTGTTTATGTTTTCGGGTTGTAGATTGTTGTGTGACATATATACGTACCATTCTTAGTGGTTTTACTCAAATTTTCAATTGTTTTTTCGTAATCATGATTGAGGATGTTTCACCGTTTATACAAACTGTGCTGGGTACTGGGTTAACATGGTTTGTAACTGCGATTGGCTCTATGTTTTGTTTCATCATTTCGAATTCCTCAACGAGTCTAAAGGTATGTTTTTATTTTATGCAGTTGTGTATTCTGATGAAAACAAGTGTGGAAAAATCTAAAGTCAGTCAGTCGGTTACAATGTAAGACCAGGCACATACATGCATCGGTTCAAGTTGCCACACCTCATCAGCACAGCAAAACGAACACCGGATCCATAGGAGTAGTTAACTCAATGGTGTAATATATAAAGGAAAGATTTTATGTAAGGATATAGTACAGAAAGAATCTAAAGATCTAGGGACTTTCATTTGCGAAGGCGCACAATTTCTTATTTTAGGAAACTTGATTAGTTTCAATGTCCTCAATACAATTTTTGAAAGACATCTTTTTCCAATTAGTTTTGAAATTTTGTTTACCTAGTGACTGTGGATCAATTTCTTTTTACCCCAAACGTTTTTACGACAAATTCCTAGATTTTGTAACTAAGACTTGTGATCACTATCTGACTTTAGTGTTTTATTAGACTTTTTAGGAATTACAATATAATTTGTTTGGATAACCAATCTTTTGGATACCCATAATTCATCCACTCACTTCGGTCCCATATGTCTGATTATATGTAGATGGTTTAGTTTTGTCTTGTGTTTGAGCTACATTACGATGCTTCAGTACATGTGTAATCGAACTAGAATTTCTCCTACTCCTTTTCCGAAGATTATTGTGGTGTATGCTGTTCTTGTCCTTACTTAGTAAAAAATATTTGCGATTACAACCCACTATAAGTTATACTGGCTAGCACAAGGTTCCATTGTGAAATCGCTAATGATATGACCAAACTAAGATGTACGGTCAATCAATGTACCCATTGAATGATAGATCAACAGGTATTGGGAGATGCAATCCTTCTGTTTTAGATCCGTGAGATGATGGTTATCTATGTTGGCAGCTTTAGGTAACGGATCAGAATTATTTGCAGTTGAGTGGACATTCATCTTTAAGTTTTTACTTAATTCTTCTTGTATTTTAATTCTCGACTACTACTGTTGAAACTTCAATTTTCACCTTGTTAAGTTCCTCTCTGTAGTGGTGTAAATTGTTACAACATAGGTCTTTGCATATATATATATCCAAGTACTTTTGTATAAAACTGTATAGTTTTATTAAAATTTACTAAAATTAATTTTGCTGTTTGCCGTCTCTATCCCTTAATTTGTTGTATTTAGAATCAGATTCTTGACGGCAGTTTGGGTTTTTCATCTGGAGTAAGTCTTACTAGTTTTCACGTTATCGTCCCTAATCTGTTAAATTTTAACAATATGGAACAAGTCATATTGTTGTACCACCTTAAACTGTTCAACTATATTAATGTCCGTATAATAAGAAAGGAGTTTTTAAAAAGTAAATCTAGTTGGCACTAATGAATTTGATCAGAATTACAGTATATCCCGTTGCTGGAACAAATAATCGCTTGGCAAATCAAATCATTTCCAATTTCTTCTCTCCTTGGCTGTATATACGTTATTTCATACGATTGTCAAATTGTAACAACCATTACCCTTCTGTTCCGAAAAATCAAAATTCCAATATCTTGATGGTATCTGGAAACAAATCAGTTGAAGTTTTTTGTTCAGTTTCTTTCCCTTTTGATTTCATCGTTATGGATTTGACACAAAGTGATAAATACCCGATTAATTTTATTATGGAATCCTAGGAATGGTGCTAAAGGTTGGTTAGACTGCTCTAATGCTTATTCGTTCCGACTTTCCAGCTGCATGCATTAGCTTTTTTATCTGTACATAATTATTCACTTTTACAAGCTGTGTTTATTAGAATTATTGGAATTGTTTTTGAATTATTTTCACCAATTTTTCACAGATGTATTGTAGAATATTATCCTGGTCAAAACAATTAGGCATGACTACCTTATGGTTGATTGTATAGTTGCATATATTGTTTTAATTTTGCATCAATAGATTATGTTAGCTGCATCATTCTGGTCCCTGTTAGAACCAGCATTGGAGATGGCTAAAATTGACTTAGGTCTAGGTGCATATTGCGTCTTCCCTGTAATGTGCGGATTGTCCATCGGTGCAGCGTTTGTTGGATTAGTGGATACTTTTTTACCTACCCAGGTAAATTTTTATTTTAGTCTTTGATTCATACTTTCCAATAATTTAACATGATGTATAGTGACAAGGTGCGTTATTGCTTAGTAATACATACATATGTTGTTGAATAGGGCTTAGTTTGCTTAGTTTGACTGTAGGGAGTTGAGTATTGGAGTGCATTAACCGCTTTCATTATCTTGGAAACCTCTTCAATTTTAGTGGCTTAGTATCTGATGAAATCTCGTCATAAAAGAGCCTTCACCAATTTTGCTAAATCTCACCACCTATCATGGGGAAAGTATCCATCTGTCAACCAATGGGTGAATATGTCCCTTATTAATTTTCTCGGTATTGCTTTGCGGGTCCGAAACATAATATATAAAAACAGAAAACACTTAAGTTGCAAGTATTTGAATTCAGGTATCGTTGAAGCAGTGCTCGTACAAAATGAAGTCACTGGGTGAATAATGTTGAGGTTGTGCATATAATACTAGATTAATTGTAAAAATGCAATGATCAGGTTGTAAACCCTTATCGACTTGAGATGGGATATATTTGCAGTTATTTAGACACCATTTAATGTAGTTTGCAGAAAACTAGTAAGCTAGACAAGGCAAGAAATCAGTTCATGAGCTGACATGAGGTGTAGTAATTTGAGTTCGATGTACACTTGTGTCTAGTTCATCGTTGGTATTAACTGATCAGTGAGAATCCGCTGCTAATTGTGCAAAAGAAGAATAAACTTCTAATCAGAACCAAATAAAACTATAATTTCTCACTAATCTATCGCATATGTATGTTGATTACATTGGTAAATGTAGCGTTTTAGACATAATACATTGATCTCTCTTTTTGATCTCAATTCTAAGAGCAGTTAATATATCCGTAAAGCTGTTAAACGAAGACTAATATTCAGAACTAATATCGGCTCAAAATATACTTGTTTAGGAAAATTTATACAAAACTTCAAGTATTTACAACCCACATATTGATTATCTGTGTCACTTAAAGCAATATGTTTATTCACTCAGTGTACAATTGAAAAGTTATGCTGAAATTCAGAAATGGTCAAAGGCATTCTACAAGCTTTGGGTTTTATCGTGTTTATGTGTGGAGTATAACAATTACAAATAGCAATATTGAAACCTCTCATTTTAACTATAATATTTCTGGTGATTTTTAGTGGGTCGAAACAGTGCCTGTGGCAATTAATGATTCTTACTATTCAGTGCCTAATCCAAGCTCTAGCATTGTATTTGGTAAGTCATAATAATTTCTATCTAAATCTTGTATAGATATTTACCTCCTGTTTATTTTTCTGCTCATAAGTCACAGAAAAGCAAATCTGTTGAGACATCTATTTTCGGATGACATGTATAAGTTGATGTCAATCAAAATTTCTGGTTTTATGTGTTCATTCCCTAGATTTTTACGTATTTGATTTTCAACTTATCATTTATTATATCTGATGTATTTAAAACGGATTATAGTGTAATTTAGTGTCTAAAACGTCGACTCGGAAGAAAATAAGAAAATAAAAATTCAATTAACAACTCACATCTACGTGAATTCAGGTGTTGCCGAAATTACATACCTGGAATTCAGTATTCAATATATTGAGTAACTCATATAATACCAGCATCTGAGAATTTGAACGTTGGCTTCAAAACATCGTAAACACCTTTTCCGAATAATTTATTTTGAATATGGGTTACTTTTTTTCTACATTAAACAACTTTTCATACTCCACTGCATACCTTATAATCATAACTATTTCACACCATAGATAAACTGTTATCTAACAAACTAGATATTGTGACGAGTCGGTGGTTATACTAAGTTAAGTTTTGCAAACTTGGTAGTTTAACGTTTGAGGCCTGATTCTATCTTGTTATACTAAATTATCTCTATTACAGTGTTATTTATTATTCCTCTGGAACTTATATATCTTTATTACTACTACCAGTACGTAGTACATACAAATAAGTGAGTGTAATATACGATATTACTAAATTTCTGGAAGGTTTCCTTGTTTACGTCTGGTATTTCTTTTTGGTTCAACAATGTAGGTTTCTTAAGATGACTCATATTCATAATTACTTTTATCTTTTTGAATGTATTTGCTAGCTGAACTTCAATTGTTTACTCATATCAACAACCTACTTAAACTGGATATCAGTTGAAAACTAGGTAGCACTGGAATGCTGTTTTGTCTTAGTTTGGGACTCCTCATCAACACCCGTTTACGATCTAGACAGAACATAAAACTAACAGAATGTCAATAAACTTTCTGGTATCTCCTACTAATACTCATAAATGCTTTAATATTTCTGTTTTAACGGTTGGTTTTCCACGTTTACACGAATGTGACGTTAATTTACCTTAGATGAATATCTACACAAGATTCCCTTCCAGTATTTATTTTACAGGACTTCAACACAACTCAGATCAAGAACACGTGATTAGCCTGACTAGAACGTAAATATATTTCCACACCGAAACCCGACACAATCCAACAACAATGAACAACCAATAATAATAATTGGATAGGGGAATATATAACTAATCTGACACCCGTCAGACTATCTAAATGTCTAAATGTCAAAATTTTATTATTAGAAAGTAATGCTCATATTCCATTGCTTGTTAAACTTATTTGTATATTAAGGTAAATCGTTCCCTTCTGAAACAGTAAAAATATAACATAATGTCTGGTGATTTTTGAAATTGTCGTTTTCCTATGAGCTTAAATATTTCTCATGTATGTATAATTTTGAATCTCGGTTTCGCGTTCCTGGTGGAAACAGTCAAACCTTTAGACCATGTTCGACTTGATCAATATTTTGACCTTCATAGGATTACTCAACTTGGGGCTAGTATCTCGATTTAATTCTTTGTTCTCGATAAACTCAATCAAACTTTGATTTTAATTGGATATAATGGCTGAAAATTAAATGTGACTGGGACTTAATCATATTCTTTATAAAAACTACGCATTTTTTAACAGCGGGACCGTTACTTTATTTTTCAGCAAACAATCATGTTATAAAAATCAGTATAGCGTTGTGGAGGTTAATTGAGATCACGAACCGATAAATGTTCGACCACGAATAAAAACCTGGAAGCACTGGACAACCGTTTTCTCCTAGTGTGGGACTCCTCAGTAGTGCATATTCACGATCTTGCACGCAGGACTCGAACTCAGAGCCTGAACTTTCTACCGAGTGATTTTTCATTTATTTTTTTGTTATGTCTCCAAATGACAATGTGGTCAACGAGTATTAAGGAAAATGACACAAATTCCACTAAAACGGCTTTCAATAAAAGTTACAAAGTACTAATGGTGTAGTAAATAAACATAAAAATAAATAACCTAACTTGCTCAAAAATATTTTCCCGAATTTGAATTTGAATCTCGTCACTTCACCCTAATACTCGTGAATCGATACTCTGTGATTATCCACATAAGCTTAAAGAAACAGGTGATTTCTACCAAACACCTAATTCTCACCAAGAACTACTAGTCGAAAATCTCAGTGTTGTGCGAAGTGAAGTGAACGTTTGAGATCTTATTCTCATAACACATATCTTAACATTAAGCTATTTTTATAGGTAATATTATATAATAGAACCTCAGTTGTCCACTTAGAGATCCAGTATCATGTTCTATTAGTGTCCTAGTTAGTTTATATCATTTTCGTAAACTAGACTTTTTATTTCCCTCTAGTTATTATCACGCTTCCTATTTATTTTTTCAATCACATGCAACATAAAACCTGGCACATATATCTAACGGTTCAAGTCGCCACATCCCATAAAGGTAGTAATTTCAAATTGACAAAACAAATCCCAGAGCTATAAAGTTATTGTAAGAGTAGGCTGTAAGAAAGCTGGGCACATTTAAATAAAACGCGGTATCAGTCCTTAAATTCATTGATTGTTGGAATGAACCATGTATATATGTGCAGACTACATGATTGAGGTAAGCGCGATTATCTTAACCAATCTTTAGAGACTGAATGACAAAGCTAAGAGTCTTTCACAATGCTGTAGGTGCATTCACTTTTATTTTCCCTTAGAACATGAGCCCCAGGATCTTCTAACACCATTTTGTGTGTCTGATCTTTCTTATTATTACTGATATTGCTACTGCTTGATAGTTTCGTCTCTCTGTGCTAGAGCAAGAGAGAGATGTAATACGGTTTTCCGAAAATCCGAGCTTGATACACCCAGGTATTAGATTATTCGATCACTGCGCTCGATACAAGATACACACTTTCGGATGAAACTATTGAGAATCAGATTAAATTGGTAAAAATTTACTAACATAATTACAACAACTCCACGCACTGTTTTGAATCCAAAGAAATCGATAGTAGAACGAATTCAAAGTATCATATAGTCTTTTGATACTTCCTACAGGTGAATGTCTGTCTTTGCTCGGCGGCCAGTCATTTCTTATTTTCTCTTGCCACATCATATGGTAATAAAAAAAATCATTAGGCGTATAAATTTTCATAAAGAAATGTAACGACTTACGATATAAGGCAATATAGAATGGGTACACCTATGCAAATAACTTTGAGCCCGGTCTTCCAGTCTCTAAAGATTGGTTATGATAATCGCGCTTACCCCAACCATATAGTAGGCAATGGCTGGACATACGTAATTACATATGCGAACCATCTCAATCAATAGAGATTTAGTATCTCATCACACCCCTCTACAGTCAGCTGTCCAGCTTTGTCCTCAGGCCTGAAAATATACTAAATCAAGACTCTAAACATACGTTTATATATATATATATATATATATATATATATATATATATATATATATATATACCTACGGAATCAGTATATAGCGGGTCCTTTGTCCTCCTACCTCTTCCAGTTGAGTCCAGAACGCCAATAACGGCTTACACTGTGCGAATCATTTATTTCAAACATAATTGGTTTATATACCAGCCATACAGACCACATCACACCACAAAACAGGAAGTAACATTTGTACAAAATCAGGCCAAAAAGTGGCTGTCAACGTGGAAGACTGTAATTAATAAACTGGACATAGCTTAAGAACAGCAAATCGCATAATAATAGTCTACAAGTTAAAATAAAGCTTATGATAAAAGGAATATAGATATACACAATCTACTTACTGAATAGTTATACAATATATATAATATTTGTTCATTAATAGTTCTCAGAAGTTACCTATAATCTAATCTTCACTAGGATATTTATTTATTCGTTTGGTACAAGGGGTCACCAAATATATGTGTCACACAAAACAATGAGAATGGGAATAGAGAAAAGAGAAGGTAAGGAGCGTAAAAGAAAAAAAGAAGAACAATAACAACCACAGATTAGTGTAAGGTAATGTAAAGTAATAATAATAATGCTGAAAACGGAAAGGTACAACAAGAGGAATTCTTTCAGTTCAGGAAGATACAAACACTTTTCATGAAGAAAGTAAAAGAAGGTTACAGCAGGATCGCCATTGGCTTCTATTCTGAGCCATATCTGATAACGTCTCTAGCCACTGTGTAGCACCATCTCTCGGACACCAGCCAGAGAGTCGTGAAGGAACAACAGAAGCCAGCCCTTTGCAGCTTTCTTTCATGCCACGACACCATGTCATGCACTGACCACCTCTCCGCTTCTTCCAACCAGTCCCAGAGTCGGCAAATAATGCACGACGTGGAATTCTCTGGGACGACATTCGTAGAACATGTCCAAGCCACCGAAGTCGGTGTTTCAAGATGGTGACACCAATTGAATTATCGTCTCTGTGCCCGAACACACGATGCCGAACCTCTGCATTACTGACATGGTGTTGCCACTGGATGTCAGCAATCCTTCGGAGACAACGATGATCGAACACAAAGAGTCGTCTAACGTCCTCAACTCGGAGAGACCAGGTTTCACAAGCATAGAGCAAAACTGCTCTCACCGACGCGTTGTAGCTCCGACCTTTCACAGCCAGACTGACATCACGAAGGCGCCAAAGATGGCTCAGATTTGCATAAGTCGCTCTGGCTTTCACTATACGTGAATTGATCTCATCACTCACACCCCCACCAGCACTTATGCAGCTACCCAGATACACGAACTTCTCAACTACGTCTATCTGCTCACCGTCCAGGGTGAGTACAGGATTAGAATCCTGCCAGTCTTGTAGAAGTACTTTGCACTTCGAAGGTGCAAAGCACATACCATACCTACGGACACTGATTGCCAACTGATTAAGTGTGGATTGCATGCCTTGGGCATTTCACACTGTGAGACAATATCTTCCGCATACTCAAGGTCGAGAAGTCTTTCTCCAGGCAACAGATCCACACCGCCATTGCTTACATCCATCAGAGCTGTTTCCAGAATGTCATCGGTGGCAAAGTTGAAGAGGGATGGTGAGATTGGGCAACGCCGTCTAAGCCCACTGCTTTAATAGAAGGAGATGGTTGTATGCCCTCACTCTACCTGAGGTGTTTGTATATAGGGCTTTTAGTATGTTAATAAACTTCACAAGCACACCCTTCTTCAATAGACAATCCCAGAGAACAGTCTTATCCAACGAATCGAAGGCAGCCCTGATGTCAAGAAACACTACGATTGTTGGCCTTTGATAAGTATGACGGTGTTCTAACATTTGGCGCAGGGTGAAGATATGATCAATACATCCTCAACCAGAACGAAACTCAGCCTGATCCTCGCGAGTCAATCTTTCTCGAGTTTTGAACAACCTACGAAGTATGACGGAAGCCAATAGATTGGACGCAATCGGAAGTAGACTTATCCCCCGATAGTTGTTACAGGAACGATGTGAACCCTTTTTAAAGATAGGGACAACTATCGACTCATTCCATGACGTTGGTACACTCTCTAGTTCCCAAAACTTTGTAAACAACGTCGTCAATTCCTTAGTCAGAAAGTCACCACCATCTTTAAAAAGAGCCGGAGGTAAGTCATCTGTGCCAGGTGATTTGTAACGCTTCAAGAGTTGGAGTTCCTTGTGGACTTCCGCCTCATTTGGTGGACCGATGGGCTTCGATGAGTTGTAAGGAACCTGAAGAAACTCAGTGCTTATAAGTGGGACGTTTCTCGGAGCCGCAAGCGACTTTACTCGCCATTTCCATGGCGTCATGCAATTGCAACCAATGCTCATCTATAGTTTTCGGTGGGATGGTAGCTAGTCTAGAAGCTAGCTCGGTTCGATACTTACTAGCAACAGAAGTTGCAACCAGCTTGCTATTATCTATCAGTTGATGGCGGTCACTTCGTTGTCCACTGAAAAGTAAGGTAAGATTAGCGCAGACCAAGGCATGGTCAGAGTCCAGATAGGTACTCCAAAAGGAGCGGCAGTCTTGTACACAACCACGTCATCGGTAGCTGATCGCGATGTGATCAATCTGAGTTCAGGCTTGGGATGCAGAGGGAGGACGCCAGGTGGCACATCGGCGATGACTGTGCCGAAAGTTAGTGCTAGCCAGAAACAGGTTGTGGTCTGTGCATAGCTGCAGTAGACGGTCCCTGTTATCTGTCCTGCGCCCATGAAGTCCCCATTGGCCACCTAAACGACTCTCTTCTGTGCCTAGACGCCCGACCTGAGCATTCAAGTCTCCGGCTAGTACTACAATATCTGTCGAACACACTTTCTGGAGAAGAACAGATAACTGGTGGTAGAATTCATCTTTGATCGCATCCGGGCTGCAATCTGTCGGGGCATAGGCGAAGATGACGAAGAGGAATCGTTTCTCACGCCGATTTCTTCTCACTTTGACGGAACTTTCTGATCTAACAGCACATAACCAACTGTTAATGGGGATCCAATCGATTAGTGCTGCTTCAGCTCTAGCACTTAGTGCTACATCAACGTCAGCAAAACTGGACGAAGATGCCACAGGGTCCCCGGATAAGCGCACGTAAAACAAGCTTTTTGAAGCGACAAATGGAGGGCGAATTTGTAGTACTTCACCAGAGTCTTGAAAACGGGTCTCGGATAGACAACAAACGTCGATATTAAATTTTTCTAAAGACAGCCAGCCCTATCTGTTGTCCGACCTGCATAAGTGTGCGAACGTTGAAGGCAGCCAGTTTGAATGGTGCACGTGGTTTAAGAAAAACTGCTTCAGCACTCATATTCGGTGGTAACATACAATTTTCAACCGGACAGTGATTCGAGAACGTTTAGATAGTGTCGAATTTCCACCAAAGACGAGCTGCTGTATAAGTCGAAAAAATAAGTATAGACAGAGTAGGAATAAAAGAGGGTGAATAATGTAGTAAATAATAATAATAATAATATTAGTAGTAGTAGTAACAATAATAATAATGATAATAATTTGAATCATTTGATTGTTATTCGAAGCGTGAAAAGTAGTTTACATAGATATAGAGAGTTCATCATTTGCGTGTGGGCTGTGGTACTGCTCGGGTGCCCAGACCGAAGCAAGTGGTTATCTTAGTGAGCCACACCCCGAGCTTTTGACCTAAAGGTCTAACCCACACGGCAGTGGGGCATCGTAAGGAGACGCAGTCCCATGGTAGCCGGTGACGGAAAATTAGTTCATACGCCATTTGTTCCCGCAGGATACTGGAGCCCATGTGCACCATTGGTTTGGGATCCGGTTAAAGCGTCTGACATTCGCTTTTCGTTTTGTCATTTTCGTAGACAACACGCCCACCACGAGAAGGCAGTGAGTAGGACTTCTCTGGCAGAGGCCGTATACGCGTGGCACACTTTGGACCTTTGAAACGCAGCGTACTTTACCAAACTGAAATAATTATACTTCTACACTCACTCTTTGTGATGAGTTGTTAGAGTTATTCGAAAATTAGTTTATCTGTATGTTTGTGAAAGTGCCGATGGTGCTGTGATTAGTAAAATCAATCTACATATAATGAAGTCACGCATAAATACTAACAATTTAGGTCGTCTCTGTTTGTAAAACATAGGGTTTACATCTCTTCGCTAAATCATTTTCGCTTCGTACTTGTGTAATCTGATGCCTCTAGGTTTAAGATGTTTTGTGACTCACTGTAACTAACCACCATTGTTTCTCAAAGACGGCTTACGTCCAACGCAACACCATGTCAGTAACCCTCAGGGCAGACAGCGTACACAGTGACAAAAACTCAACAGATGTCACGTTTTTGAAATAATGCTGCTGGCATCCTAGGGATTGGTTACGAATACCATCACATATTATTTACCGACTTTGATGAGTGAAAAAAGCAGAGTCAATCACTTAATGACGCGGCATCGTGATATGAAAGATAGTTATATTGGACGGACATCTGTTGATCTATGGTGAATTCCCGGTTGGTGGTCTTAAAGATCGTACTAGTTAGTAGCTCGAGGTGCCATTAAATATGACTCAGAATAGAAGTCAGTGATAATTTTGGTGTAGTTTCTACTACATTCTTCATTAAAGCAGAATGAACACTATTAACTGAAGTAAACCTTGTTTTGGATGTATTTTAACTTGACTGTATCTCTTAGTAAGTAGTACTCTTATTGATTTATTGATTAATTATGGAGTTCTTTTCTTTTCTACTTCTCCGTAATATGATCGTTTCATTTGTGTATCTCTGTAGTGTCGTGCTGTATTATAATTTACGTATGTTCTAAATAGCTCTGGCGGCGTACAAGCTACTACTAAATTTTTTTTTCGGTATAACCTGTAGATACGTCTATAAAACAACGTAACTATTTGGTAAATAGTTGTATAGAGTCCAACATCAGGCATCGTTCTGAAAACACTATACAAGCATATCCATCGTCTTCATCAATAAAGGTTGATAATGAAAAAAATCAACTTCCGAAATTGGTGATAACTCGTCGCTTATGGTTGTTAATCATGGCGATTACAGTACATAATATACCTGAAGGTTTTGCAGTTGGTATTGCATTTGGTGGACTTGGACAATATTCAAGAACTACTTTCTCTCAAGCGTGGTGAGTTGAGGTCACGTATTTTTAAATGCCTTTGTAATTAAATAACTTTTAGATTTACGACGAATACTAGCACGCCGTTCGCGAATTGCAACTTGAACTTCATTTTGCTTTGTTGTTGTACGAAATACCATTAGATCGTGTGTAAGATATTTTATATTTAACTGCCATTACCTCGAAGGTTTTAGTCATTTTTCAGGGAACTACACTCTGGTTTTTTTTATTAGATCGCAAATTGTAGATAATTGTAATTTGTACTATACATACTCAGTAGTAAGAAAAAGGTGAAATGATATCTCCAACTGATAAAAAGAAGTACGTCTTTGACATCATATACTTACTGTCAATTTTGTCTTCATGTACTGCTGTAAACATAGTAAATGTAGAACTTGTTCATGATCCTTTTGAATGAACGTTTACTCACTCGCAACTGACATATTTAGTTTTTTTTTTCTGTTATTAATTCATTAGTTTTTTATATTTGTTCGAAATGCAAATCAACATTTAGAATATAGTTAAGAAATAAAGTCCCATTTGACTTCCAGTGGTGCTTTCTAGGTGAATGATCAAAGAATTGCTTAAAGATCATATTACTACTAACCATCATTTGCTAAACGCTATTATGTTATCAGTACATAAACTGTTTTCTAACTAACTTTTTTATTTCTGTTTTTTTTCTACATTAGTAATCTGGCGATTGGTATTGCTATTCAAAACTTTCCTGAAGGTTTGGCTGTCAGTTTACCGTTATATTCATCTGGATATGGATTTTTCGTTAGTTTCTGGTAAACTCACTTTTTTATTATTTTATTTATCTAGTTTGTGCTTTTTGAAGATTTCCATTCATCTTTAAAATTCGTAATCATTCACCACTTCTAGGCTTTCGGAAATTTTAAGTTAACTTCAAGAGCATTAACGGCATTTAGTTATGATATTCAAATTTATTAATATATATCACAATGAGTAGAAAATTTGTGGAGATTGTAGTATTTTAACAGTTGAATTCACGAATCGATCTTGGCTAGACCACCATTGAAAACCTGGAAGTAATGGACGGCCGTTTCGTTCAATTGGTCATGTACACCTTATTTTTTTAAAAATGACTGAGGCTTAATCCGTTTCCGATTTCTATGTCTGATTTCAATTTTAACTTTTATCTACATCTTTTACAAAGTTAACAGTTGTCCTTATTTCCTATGGGTACTGGAGTCGTTAAATCTTCTTGTTGTGGATGCGGAGGAATAGACCAATAATTATCATGTTAAGTCCAATGGTGTCCTTGGACTTTAGATGGACATTTCCTATTGGCCGATATCTGTTCACTTGTTGAATATTGTACAAAATGTTGTTTTCTATTTTTGTGGTACGGTGTGGTATGCTTGATTGGTATATAAACAAAGTATGTTTGAAATATAATGATTCATATCTCCGAGGCTGTGGCTTGTGTTCTGGACTCAACTAACTGGGCTAGACAGGGAAGTGGGACCAATCGAGACTCTAGGACGTCCATTCGTGTTTACGTGTCACTGTCACCGGATCGATCACAATTTAAAGTCATAACACTTCTTAAGACTATTTTATTTGTAACTTTTAAATAGGTATGGACAATTGTCCGGTCTTGTAGAACCGTTTGCCGGGCTTATCGGTTGTTTGGCCGTACATTTCTTCCGAAGACTTCAGCCTTATGCGTTAGGCTTTGCTGCAGGAGCTATGCTATTCGTTGTAGTTGATGATATTATCCCTGAATCTCAGTCCAGGTAATTCATTGTTTGTTTTATAACTCTCTATTTCTCTCTGAGCAAATCTATTCATTTAATTATGTACAAGACAGATATTATATATATCGAGTTAGGCATTCTTAAACAGTTATTTGGTAACTCAAAATTCAGTAGAAAAGTCGAGGGCTTATTGATATTATTGACTTATGAAGGCGTTAAAAGCGCATAAATATGAGGGCCTATTTTTTTTAAAAACATTGTTTGAACAAGGAAGGTTAGGTTCGGTAACTGATAGGCAAAGTATTTTTAAGACGCATTAAAAGTTTAACTGTGAATAAAGATGATTCATCACACAGAAGTATTCGTTTTGAAATTTAAAGAACCTTGAAAGGTACAGAGTTAGTCAGTGACGCGGCATCGTGATATGAAAGATAGTTATATTGGACGGACATCTGTTGATCTATGGTGAATTCCCGGTTGGTGGTCTTAAAGATCGTACTAGTTAGTAGCTCGAGGTGCCATTAAATATGACTCAGAATAGAAGTCAGTGATAATTTTGGTGTAGTTTCTACTACATTCTTCATTAAAGCAGAATGAACACTATTAACTGAAGTAAACCTTGTTTTGGATGTATTTTAACTTGACTGTATCTCTTAGTAAGTAGTACTCTTATTGATTTATTGATTAATTATGGAGTTCTTTTCTTTTCTACTTCTCCGTAATATGATCGTTTCATTTGTGTATCTCTGTAGTGTCGTGCTGTATTATAATTCATATATAGTACAAATAAGACAAGAATATTGTCATCTGTTTCAGTTGTAATTCGTCTGTTATTTCATTAATTCAGGAATATTTGAGTTAACCAGAATTACTCTTCAGTCACCAGTTGCGCATTTCATGCTACGTATATTAGCAGATATAAGTATTATGTAACACAGATCAGAAGTGCAAGCTTGACAAAAAGGTTTATAAGTTTTTAACTTGAGGAAACAAAGGAATTGAGAAGCGGAAGAATCGTGAAGGATGCAAAGGATAATTGATGGAAAATTTGTAAATGAAGTATTTAATATCTGGTTTTCGCAGTTCACTAAAGGATTCTGTAATTTTGCATTAGATAATACATAGGTTTTCCTCACCAAGTCTTTGTTCACGATAACTATATAAGAGCGTTTCATATAACACACCTATTTGTAAATCTATGTCGTACCTACTTAGGCGTGTCTTCATACATACCATTGGTGCCTTATCTGTAACTCATGTTAGATATTCATATAATCGTATTTTAATATTTGATCGATAACTGTCTTTTCCCATTTGTTCACAGAAAATTGTATGTGATTTTTTCTGTTGCCTATCTTACGTAACATTTTATTGGTATTATCACTACTTTATTGTCTCCTTTTGTTCTGTCTTCTCGTGCATTTGTCGGTCGCTCTCATTTTAAGTTTAAGAAGAGATGCAAAGTAGCCTACTGTTTTGTGTTATTTTTTCAGGAAAATTTCATATGCTTTAATCTGTTACCATTATATTCATTTCTTTATCCAGTAACTCTTACAACTTTCTTTAGGATTGGCAAAAACCTGGATAGCGGAAATAATTTTCGCAATCAACACATTGATTTGACCCTCATTTTTGTCGAAACTTGATGAAGGAATAACGTATCACTTGCATAACAATTACATATCTATCCTAATTCTATGTTTCTGTATTTTTTTCAGAGGTCATGGCCGACTATCAACTGTCATGGCCCTTATTGGCTTCGCTATTATGATGTGTTTAGAAGTGGTCACAGAGACCTAGTGAAGAAAATAATTAGGTTTCTTATTGATGGAGGTTAAATTTTCACTTGCTTTGCAGTTGGTTGACTTACTGCCCCTTACCTAATACAATTATCTGATTGTGATATTATAAAAACATAACAAATAATGCTTTTTTACATGCACATATCAGTTGTTTGAAAAATACTTACGTACATCTTAAAATATTCCTATGTTTACTGTTAATGGGTGCTTGTATCTTTAGTCTTTTGTACTCATCTCAATAATTTTGATCCTAATTTTTGACGTAAAGAACAAATATTTAGGGAAAGCAAATCATGTAGTTTTTCTTGTCTTCTTATGAATTTGTATTTTTTTCTGATACTGATGTTCTCTTTATACTTTAATAAAATTAGACTTAATATTGTCTCAAATCTTTCAGGTTTCATGCTGGCTTGTTTGGGATTAGAAATCTGTCATGTATACCTCGTACTTTTTTATATTCATGAAGAATAAATAGTTTTAATTTTTGATCTCTGTCTTCTATCACTTTTATTTGGTAGATAACTGTTAGTTTATACAAATTGAGTGGTTGTTGTTGCTCAGGATTTGTGAAATTAGTGAAATGATGGATTGTCTGTATAATTTAATTAGTCTAAAAATACCTAATTCTGTGGGCTTACAAGCGATACAGAATTTGAGTTAAAGTTGCTGCCTAAACTGGTAACTTCAGTCTCTATTTGTTTCTCAATAAAAAACACGTTCGGTAGGGGCTCAGAGAATCATCTATCCAATATTGTTGGCATACAACTTCAAGTGAAAGCGTTATCGCTTACAGTATACCAATGACCATCCAGTGTCAACTTTTCACGTCAGCGGGACAAATACGTTTGTCGTATTTCCTCAGTATTAGAAGCTCCTTAGGGTAGGCACTCTGAGTCTACTCATTAGATCAAACGGATCGTGTGCCCTCTGTAGATATGAAATATCATATCAATGAATTAACGAATAAATCCAATCATCGATCCCGGGCACCGAACCGCACCCACGCTTCCTATTTCTTGGTAGTATTGCTAAGATATACAGATCTCTGAAAAAACTCAGTGTATCGTTAACTGCATTGATTATTTGTTAATAAACTTAGTCCAGGCCGTTTATCTAACTTTCCGATGGGTCTTAACTGGCCTAGTAAACCTATCCTGTCTGAACCATGCAAATGATCTTAAACAATGACGTTGTTTTACAAAACTTAGAACCCGCTCTCCAAACAGCTAGGAATCAAACTCTACTCCAACAGTCACTGTATACTTTATTAATCGACAGCTCACCCGTCTACATATTATATATTAATTATTATTATTCCAACACATAAAAATTGGCACAAGGAGCCACCATATAGATATGCGCCACACACATCATCCGATTTGTATGAGGACTGGGATACTGCCCGGGTGCCCAGACCGAAGCAGGTGGTTTTCTTAGGGGGTTACACCCGGAGCCTTTGACCTAAAGGTCTGACCCACAGGGCGGTGGAGCAATGTCAGGAGATGCAGTCCCATGGCAGCCGGTGATCAACGATTGGTTCACACGCCATTTGTCCCTTCAGGGCACGAGCCTATGTGCACCATTGGTTCGGAATCAGGGTTTTCCAGCTTCCCCAGATGGATCCTCCGTGTTCACCAACCCGTGAAAGCGCTGGACATTCGCTTTTCATTCTTTAAATTTCGTAAACAACACCCCAGTCTCGAGAAAGCAGTGAGTAGGGCTTCCCTGGCAGAGATTATTATTTAAATTTAAGAGTTCGAGTGATTTTGATCGCAAAGTAAATAATTAATTATAGGGTATACGTGGTGCAAAACTATGTAAAAAAAATTTGTATACAACCACAGTTTATAAACAGTAGAAAATGTATTAAGAATCGATGAGTCACATAGAAGCTTACATTTAGGAAAATCTGCAAATGTACGTAACAGAAATATGGATTTTCAATCAAATAGTGCACAAAGTACTAGAATCATTTATCCCTTCTTAACGTCCGAGCCAGTTTAGAAAGGTAGAAACTAAGCTGACAAAAGCTAGATGCTCTTACTCCTGTGGGAGAGAATGGCCGAGATATTCATTGTGTTCCATTACCTTCTAGTCGTGTCTACCATAGAGCAAAAGAAACTGTCATATGTGTTTGAATAGGAGCGTCGTATTACTCAACTTCAATATGTATAATAAACCTTTTTGCAGCCAATCGCTAGTGTAAATCCACTGCAAAGTTGATGGAAATGGTTTAGCTGCTTAAGTCACATAGCATCATGTCAAACTACATTGTCCAATTACTTTCTGTCTTAAACCACCACTGTCTGGTGACCGGATGGTCTTTTTCTTTAAATATAAGTAGTAAATGGAGTCTGTGGTAAACACACAACGAAAGCAAGTTAATATAAGAAATGAGTATAAATCAATCGTATAGAAGGTTGTTAGCTCATAAATGCGTGTTTAAAAATTTTCAAAACAAGGAGATGGAATTTATAGGTACACGACAACCGATGCACTCGATTTTTGCAATAGATAACCAGTCATTATTAAAATGATTGAAGCACCAACTGAAATTCAATCAACAGCTATGTTAAAACCCTGGTTGTGTAAGAACGGCTAACGAGTGAGAAAAAGAATTGGCAAGTAAACACGTAAACAGTATCTACTGAACAAGACAGTTTTACACAACCACTTGGACAACTTTTTCCAGCAAATCATCACAACCGTTCAGTTTAATCGAAATTAAGAAAGATGTGAATAAAGACATGATTTATTTTTAAATTAGGTTTAAATCAATCATTACCTATCTTATCGTGAGGATTTATATTTATATTGTGATAGAAAGAAGGGATATCATGAATGAACACCGGATAGGATGCCATAAGTGAGAACAGCAAATGTTAAATTGAGTTTCAGATAACAGTACATAAATGTCATTTGAATAGATAAAATAACGAAAACAACAGGAAAACCTGATGACACCACCTATAGAGAGGCCACACATTTATGAGAGTAGGAGAAATATTATCATCACTTCTAACGTAACTTATTAGAATCGTCTTCAACAGACAATAAGAAAATTTGTGATTAGTGCATCCCTAAATTGTTTAGTCCGCGGATAGCGTGGTACTACTTGATTTATGCCTGATTTCGAATTTCAAACACAGTGCGTTCGTTTGTGCTCATCTAGTTCTCTTTGGTCTCGATTGCGTCATTGTTGGGATTCCTAATTCGTATAATAACCTAAATACTTCTAATTATCACACTGACGTCGCGATGGAGCCTGTGATGGAACATTTGTATATACATTCAAATTTTGATGATTTCGAGAATTATATAGAAAGGTTTGAAATCTGGAATATGACCAAGGAACATGTTGAAGATGTGTATCGGAACAGCTTATTAAAAACTTTGGAATTTCCAGAAAATCCCATTTCATTTCCTTATGCAACTCTCAAGAAACTACTACTAGTCCATGCAAAGGCTACAAATTTAAGATATTATTATTATTATTATTATTATTATTATTATTATTATTATTATTATTATTATTATTATTATTATTATTCACAAACATCTTATGGGTACATAAGTGTTGTGAAGAAACAATTTAGGGTTTCTTCAAAAAGATGCAATAATACACAATTTTCAATAATGTTAGCATTATACTTCACATATTAAAAAAAGAGTAATAATAGTAGAATAATAATAATGATAAATCAGATTCTGTGTAATTGAGAAGAATATTGAATTGAGTTTAAAGAATGAAATGGAGAAAATAAGGGAATAGAAATAAATAAGACGTGAAATACGCAAACAATCTAATAGGCGTGTTTATGAACACAGAACAAGAATAAACGACCATGTGTGTATCGTCAAACTAGTAACAAAAAATAATCAAGAAAAAATAACTTATTATCGCAGTAAGATATGACACTAGAATAAATATTTGTGCAGTTAGAGTTTGGAGTGATGCTATGAAAGTCTCAATTAAATGAAAAGGATAACGAAATATCAATATGTATGGGTCATATATGCATAGTGAAGATAAAACGAGTCTGAGAAGTTAATTTAAATGTAACACAAGTTATTGTCTTAATTACAAACTTCATAACCTTAAGAATAATATTTATTTAGAGGGAAAGAAGAGAGAGAAAATAAGTGAACACTTAGTGAAAAGTTTTGATCCATGATAAGAATAATAATTGTTTTATGAATATCAACCTCACAAGGAAACCATCAATTGAAAAAATAAAATAAAAATCCTCTAATGCACTCGAATGAATACATTTAGATTTATGTAATAGTATACAGAGTGAAACCGGGTATTAGTATAAATATTTGTGCAATAATAATTAAGAATGATGCTATGAAAGTCACAATTGATTTCGAAGGACAATCTGGAATGAAATATATTTAGAAGGATAAGAAGAGATAAAAAGAATATCTAATGTGTTGGGGAACTAATGATGATATTAATAACGGTAATAATGATAAACACAAACATAAGCAGACTTCATATATTAAAATGAATAGAAATAAAATAAAATAAACGTGAAAAGATTCAAAGGTTTCATTTTGCTTTTCAGGTAATTGAATGGATGACGGACCTTGTTTGTATAAATCATTATTGAATACAGTGATATTCAATAGGTGACATAATCCACTTTCGGAAAGAAAATCATCAAGGAGACTTCTGAACCAAGCTGTAGTTTCACTGCAACGGAGGTTCACTGGCAGTCTGATCCACATGGTTGAGTAGCGAATAAGGAAAAAATTCTGACGTAAGTTTGTATGGGTTCTTGGAATCGCTAGAATATTCTCCTTATTGCGTAGATTGTGGGATGATATCATAAGGTATGAAGGGGTGGATACGGAGGAGTAGGAAATACCGTTAATAAGCCGGTAGATAAAGACAAGATTTAATTTGATACTTCTGATCCAAAGAGGTTCTAAGTTGAGTTGTTGACATCTTTGGTGATAGTCTTTGTTATCGGAATACCACAAAACAGCTTTGGTGAACTTTCTTTGAACACCTTCAATTTTAATCAGGTCATTATGTCTGCAATTACTGTAAACGAATTGGTCAGGTAAAGGAGGAAATCTTCATAAAGTGACTCGTCAGGACATCAAGAACCTCACAACATTAATACGTCATCTCAATCCAATGCGTACTCAAGGTTATGCAGATATTATATTATTTATTATTTGAACACATGAATATTGGTACATGAAAGCGCCAATATATATGCGCCACACAAAACAATGAAAATTCGAAGAGAAAGAAAAAAAAACTAAGGAGCGCAAAAGAAACAGAGAACAATAACGAAGAGATTGGTGTAAGGTATTGTGGTAGTAACGGGGGAACGAAAAGGAAGAATCAGAAGAAATCTTTCAGGTAAGGGAGACAAAACCACTTTTTATGAAGAAAGTAAAAGAAGGTTACAGCAGGATCGCCATTGGCTTCTATTCTGAGCCATATCTGATAACGTCTCTAGCCACTGTG